AATTGCTTTTATACAATGTGCACACCGAAATTCATACGCAAAAGTATGTTCATTGAGTCTGTGCACATATTTCAATCTCTCCATTCGGTCCGCACGTGCCAGCTCCTATGTTAAGGTTTTTGTTGTCCCAGGGTAATATTCCTTTCACTAATCGATACATTCCTATCAACTACTACAAGGCAATTACAGTTACGTATCTTTGGTGAGTCCTATTATGGAAAAAGAACGCAGAGCTGGCAGTAACAGTAAAGGAAGGATCAGCGAAGACAACAACGTGCATGAAGCATCAGAACCCCTTCTCTGAAGTTTACAGCAGAAAGCTTGAATTGCGTTGCCACAATTCTAAATCGCTAATTAACTTACAATTTTCAGGTAATGTGACAAAAATAAGCAAAACTGGAGTGTATAAATATCTGCCTTCAACTTCAGAAATTTACAGTGATAACTGAATCTTCTTTTTGTTTTCCAAAACTGCACCGGGCAACCCGATCTTATTTTGCAGTTGGCTCAGCATTGGGCAAAGTATTGGCGCAGATCACCTCCCAAGGTCCCTTCCACACTGAATAATTCCATGTGTCTGTAGAGAACCTTAAGTTGAAAGAATTCACTCATTTACCACAGAGGTTATGAAATGTAATATACATTTAAATAAGGCTGGAGAGAAATTTGAAATAAATTAAAAAAAAAAAAAAAACCACCTCACATTGTGGCTCATCTCATTGAATTCACAAAAAAAAAACCCAAAACACTCCACGTTTATTTTATTAGAATGGCCTGCCCTGTGGAGAATTTGGGACTATATACTTGGAAGACTTCTACAAAAAGCAAATAAAGTTGTCATTAAAAAATACAAAACACGCTAATCTCTGAGGGACATTAAAAAAAAAAAAATAAAATCACCAGCCCAAAAAAAACCCCACAAACCAGAGAAATCTGAAAACATAACCACATGAGGACAGGAAACAAACACGTACTTTGTAGACATTCAAATTTAAACAAAAATCTGTGCTTATTTTTGGAAATGTAGGCAATTACTCTTTGTCAGAAAATATATACCAAAAAATAAACTAAAATATTATACTGGATGATAAAATGCCACATTTCAGAACATTTTCCATTTAAAAGTTTGAAAAGTCTTACAAACCAATTTTTATGGCCTCACTTATATTCTGGCTTTAGTTTGCCTTCAAATGGTTTAAATAAAAGAAAGGTTTGAAGAAATATTTTAATGCTTTCTATTTTTTCCCCTATCCAGTAAATCACACTAAAGCAAGTAATGAAAAAATATATTTAGAATAAAGACTGAAAAGTTGCTGAAGCCTAACTTGGCAGGGGAACACACATGTACAGTACGACAGTAGGTAAGTAAGTGGTATATGCTCCTTCTAGATTTTAGGGCAGAACCAGTAAATATAGATGAATATTCTTCCCCAAAATTCAAACACTGATGTTGTTCCTATTCAAGGTCATAATCTGTTTTCAATTCAATGTTCACAACATACATAAAGGCACGAGGTGCGTGGTACATTTAGGAAGTTTTCTGACTATGCCATTAATGAGAAATAAAAATACGAATACATTATATTCTCATCAGGGAACAAAACTCAACAAAATCTTCCTAATGCCATCCTCTCAAAAAACAATCAAGCAAGCAAACAAACAATCAAAACCCAAAAAAAAAACCCAAGAACCAAGAAACACAGACTTGCTTTCTTCTCAAGAGAAAGATACATGATGTTGAATGGAGTAAACTCAGAAATCTGCAACCAGCTATCTGGAGTCAGCTTTGTAGAGTCTGATTAAATTACCACTCTAGTCATTTACTAAGGATTTCTGTACCAGGACTCTGGTCACATGAAAGAAGGAGGAAAACATGAAGGAGGAGTACTTTAGGCATCGAACTTGGTTTCCTAATTTGATACCTCAAATCCTACTTAATTATACCAGTGGTGCCCAACCATGCATCTAGGAAGTCCATGCAGCTCTTTGTGGCACTAGAGGAGAACTGAAGGCTGTTGGTCCCAGAAAAATGAAGCAGAAAAGGAGTTGGGGGAGGAACGAAAGAGGAATGGAAACAGACAATGAAGATCTTCATTAACCATCCTGGTCCTCAGGAGTAGGTGAGAAACAGGGTAGATAATGAGAGTAGCAGCAACCCTCTACAAAGTGGCAGCTGTCTTGCTCTGTCAGGATATGACTGGAAGCACACTGAGTTATATATGAGGGAACACAGGCATCCAAGAAAAAACATTGAGGGAGCTGGAATTTCTTTCAGTGGGTGTTAGGAATTGCAAGTAGTGGATTAAATACCTCTGCCCTGTATCTTCAAGACGACAGAGGTCCATGAAAACAGAATAAGCCCTCATGTACATTATACTGTGCAATTCCCATACAGCCAGGACTGCAAAGAAGAGGAAGTAATGGAGGGAAAGGGCTTAACGAGACGACATATGCTTCATTAATACTCAAACATGCATTATATACCTCTTTACTGAAAGGAAAAAAAGAGAAATTTTGTGTTCCTTTGCCAGAAATAGGCTGACTTGCCCTGTAGTAATATAACTTAATTAAAGCTAATGCTAGACTGATTTAAGTCAACAAAAATAAGACTTTTTAAACGTGTTTCTCTAAAAACAAAAGCTTCATTGATACTGAACTTAGTCTATCTGCAGTAAAAAGTTTACCACTTTACCAGTATTCTGAACATAAATAAAGCAATACCTCAATGCAATATGCATTTACTTTAAGTCATCAGCAATTTACTGTTAATACACAAACACTGTTTGTTAGATTCATCAGAAGCCACAGAGCAAACATTACAATTCCCTTGCTCAGGGAGCACACAAAGTGCCCAAAAGCGTAGCACCTTATGACCATCCTTCTGAGAGATTCTGAAGGGGGAGCAAGATACTGACAAATTACTGCTTCCCTTAAAATCCATGTAGCACATATATGCTCCCTAGAAAATGACTTTTAGGCAATGTAACAACTTTAGAATTCTTCTCATTTGAAACAAAGTCTAAGCAGTTACTTTAATAGTAGTTCTAGACCTGAAGTGCTCACCTATCACACCCATACACCATGGCAGCCTGTGGAGCAACACAGTAAAGTTCTCTAAATACATTCTCCTCCTTGTCCATTGCGTATCTACTACATCATCTACTGTAAAATCTATTCCAGGTTGATTGGTTCCCAGTTCAGTGTTTTCTCCAATCATTTGCATGGAGCCTAATCCAACAACTGCTTAAATTCATGGAAATTCTATTACGGACTTCAGTGGCTTTCGATCAGTGTAGATGGTTGGAAAAGTCACTAACATCGGCAAGCCATCAACCTCCTATCATTTTACTACCTCCAAACAGGGGCATAAAAATGACAAATGTATGTTATGCATGACTGGGGAGCACACTGGATGTTACATGACCATTGCGTACAATATCATGAGAAATCATGAAGAGGTTTCCCTTCTGAGCACACAACATTTAACCGGCAAAAAGCAACGATTGTTTAAAGTGATCTGTTCTATGAGACGGGAAGAGAACGTGGTTCGTTGTCATTGCATTAAGGATATTTCAGGTTGTATGAAAAAATGTCACAGCAAATCCATAGCATTAGGGGCATTATGTCTCCATCAAGAGTGGACTCAATATTAGCTCAATTAGGAATTCTGCATCTCAGTTTAGACATCCAGATGAGCGAACGGACAAAAATTGCAACAAACAGCACAGGATATGCCCACCCTTGGTTAAGAGTTATATAAAGCTCCTTTTCAGGAGCTACTCCATTAAGAACTAAATTGAGAGCAATTTTTTTATATATCTTCTACCTACCAATGCTGATAATCATGTACAGACCAGGTGTGAAAGTGCATCCTCAATATTGACTTTTTCTCAAACTACTTGAAATTTCTGTGGTACGTATGCTATTAAAGGTGGAAGACGAAAAAGTTGTCATCTTTCTTCTCATTGGACCCCACCCTATCTGACATCTTCTGTTCTCTTGATCGTCCCAGAGCCTTGGAATTACTTATTTTTTTTAAGTGAATGTTGTAACAAACATCTCTGCAATCTCATGTAGCCTGGGAATAATTTACCAGCTGGACTTCTTTCACTTGGGCAAGCTCCGGCAATGCGAAGATGAAATACTAGTTGGCTCCTGCCTGACAAAGGCTCTTAGACAAGCATTCATTTTACTCACCTTGAAGGCTACCACCTTAGACATGAATCTAATTTTATTCCCTCACCTTTCTGTCCATAACTGGTTGTAAAAGCTTATTTGCTGTATACTCAGATGTTTGATTTGCACACCAAGGTTGAGGAGTAATTTCAAGTTACTTGTAATTTTGCTGCAGTAAAAAGAAGTAGAAGTCTAACTACCATACATTCTAGCCTGTCCACAGTGACATCAGCTTGAAAACTCGTTTCATTGGATCATTCCAGATATTTTGCATTTACAAGCTATTTTTTTTCAAATCATTAAATAGATATAGTGGCTGATAAAAACAGTTCTTACTGCAAGTATGTCTTTTCAGATGTTCTCAGCAAAATCACTCTTAGGCAGCACGGTGTAATTCCATAAGGAAAATCCTTCCTATTGTCTGAGTTGCATTACATGCATATTCCTCCTCCTAGTTAACTCCTTACCTGCCAGTCTCCACTAAACTATGATATCACCTTTAACAGAAGCATCCTGCACTCCTTCCACACAGGAGGGGTGATCAACACAGCACCCTAGAAAAAGGACTCATCTAACTATTTGTTCTTTATGTCATCCCTCTGTCCTCATATCTCCCTCAACCACACCAAAAAAAAAGAAGTTGGCTTCACATTTTTTATGAAATTCCCCAACTCCCAACTCTCATTACAGAAATGCATTTAAATAATACCACACAAGTACTACAGAAAGAGGCAGACAGCAAGATTTTCTATTTGCACCTCACCTCCCGGAGGGTATCGGGGCTAAGGAGGGAACGTCTAACTCAGAAATAGAAGGTTCAGTACCTAGTGGCTTTTATTTCGGCGTCTGCTATTTCACTTGATCAATAACAACCGCAGTCTCCACCGGCTTCGAGCGGGGACTCACACAGCCGAGCACTCCTGGACCATCTTCCTAGCAATGGTGACACAGGCGTTGCTCCGAGGAACCCCAAGCCCCCGCACTCGTCCTCCGGCAAGACTGGCTGCTTGGCACCTCAGCATTTTCTTCGGTCACTTCGTCAGCAGCCAAGAAGAGAAGCATCCATGGGAAAAATGGCATATTACAAATTTTGCTTTGGGAAGCAGAGCTCGGCTCAGACCATTGGGGGGGGGGGGCGCGCGGCTCGTACCGCCCCAGCAGCCCCTTTGGAGCAGCAGCGTCTTTGCAGCTGGAGGCAAGCGATTACAGGGGGAGGGGCCAGGGCGAAAGCATCTTTCTTTTATTTCTCATGTTTTGTTAAACTTAACAGAGCGATATCAGGCTTCTCTGGTTCTTCAGTACCTCCCAGGCTAACTATGCCTCTGCATGATTGAAGTCCACATGCACGCACGACTGCCTGCATGATCGAGAGAGAGCAAACGCGGTTTGCCGCTTTGCAGAGAAGAAATCTTGCGCCCACCGCTCAGCGCTGCCTGGCAGGCACCATGC